AGTTAAACAGGTTTAGACACATTTGTGTTTCATTCACTAAAGTCGATCCGTCTGTGGATCCTGTTTGTTTTCATTTGGTCTGTGCCCAGTGCAGACTGTGAACAGGGGAGGGCGTACAAGGGTAGGACCTGCCGATATATCGGCCGATATTGGCACTAGTTAAAGAAATCAATATGACTGATAGCACATCTTATGTAGTGCATTTAGTGATATATACAACTCACTCATGTGAGTACACTATTTTCTGATCTGTATCTTATAATGTTGTTTCCACATCACAAACAGACCTAGAGTTTGTTTCTTTCACACATGTTTAATACACACACTTTGCACATTTAGGCTCTCAAACAGAAAACACTCTGTCCCACGTTGTGATGTCACAGGATAATACAGGAAGTGCTCCAGTGTGGTTTTAAACCCCATACACCTTCACTGGAATCATTTGTATGATTTCAGCCCTGGAAATGCACATCTCTAATGAACTAAATATAAAAGGAGCTGTTCACTACCACTACATGACGTCACAAAGTGGAACAGAGCATTTTGAGCTCTGGAGATGTAGACAGACTAATAAACCAGGATTACTCAAACATGTGAATGCAACAAAATACAGTGTGTTTTTGATGAGGTAACAATATTCTAACCTGGCTTAAAGAGTCACTTTTGTGTCATATAGGAGCTTTAAAGTATAAGGAAAGGCCCTTTCTTCAGATAAAGTGCCCCACATATGCAGTGTGTTAATTCATTGCACAGTGGATCTCCTTAAAACACAATAGCTTAACATGTACTCAAGTATAAATCTCTGTGTACTCAAGTATAAATCTCTGCTAGGACATGACCTCATCGCTCTCCGCTTCTGTCTGTGTTTCTGTTGCTGTTTCTCCATCTGCAGATTTGCACTCAGCCTCTACCTTTTCGCCATTTTGTTTTGTAACATTCAAGTTTTTCCATCTAGCACTTCTGAAAGAGCCAGCAGGGAGAGAGGGATGAGGAGGGAGGGATGAGGAGACATGTTTTTGTATATATATTTGTTATTTGGATTCAAAACAATCGTATATTTGATGGCGGGAGGAGGGGAGAGGAGTAACAGTGGTCTGAGCTCCTGGCGGCTCCGTTCACTGTGTGGGCGTTCTATACTCGAAAGTTTACAGAAAATCAAAATGAAAACAAACGTGACGAGGCGGCCATTTTGTGACGTGGAGGCCATTTTGTGATGCGGATGCCATTTTGAAGCATGTTGTTTTTCTGTCCGAGGCTCTTTGGAAAAACAGAACTGCACTGAACCTGAGCTTGACCGCCTGTCGATCATGAACACGGCGCGTTCATGGGGCACGTTTTCAATGGGTTTTTAAAAAAAATCAAGATGGAGGAATGGTTTTGGTGCTGTGTTTGTAATCACTGAGCCTATCCACATGAACGCTATGACCAAACAAGATTAATACAGTATACCAAATTTCTAATCGCTAAAACAAAATACTCAGATTCAACAATTGTGGATGATCAATTTTAAAATCTCAGGCATGAATTGTGCCTTATTTTCTAGTAAAAAAAAAAAAAAAAGATTTAAATAGTACAGTGTTGTTTTTTTTAAGTTGGTAAAGTGAACATAATATAAAAAGGTGTGTATAAAACCATAGTAACTGATAATAGATTTTTGATTTTAAGTTTTGATATTTCTTTCTAAACCTGGGCCTTTCCTGTCCCCCATCTTGGTTTTTGTCTAATTTCTGTCTCATGAACGTGACGTCTCACTCCAATGTCTGTTGAAGCTGTTTGGAGCTGTCTGCACCATGGGCCATCTGCTTCTTTCTCCTCTTGATTTATTTGGGCTTATTTTTTGGGGGTTAATTTTGTTTGTATTTTGGGGAGGGGGGAGGGGGGGGGTGCATGGACCGACTGCGAATGTGACCTCTGCACGCAGACACCACACACCATAATGTTCTTTCATTTTTCACTGCAAAAAAGAATCTCCATGTGAGGAAAAATGACTTGAATTTACACTGTTTCTTTGAGTAGGTTTGGCTCATTCTGGATGATTTGATGACTGGAACTGCTGCAAACTTAAATGATGTAACAGTGGAGCTAAAATACAGCTAAGATATGTTTATGTTTATGGTTAATAGGCTGTTATATGCTTATAATTTACAAAAGAATATATATTTAAAAAAAAACTGCCCCCCACTGCAAAGTATAGCTGACTTTTGTTTTTGTAATTTAAAGCAGAGCAAAAATGTAGTGACCAAAATCAAATTGAGCTAATCAGCACAGAAATTTTATGAGAAAAGTATAAAATATAGATTAAAATTATTATTTGATGATGTATTATTTGGAGTAAAAAAAAAAAAAGCAATTCTCTTTTCTAGTTTGTGGAGCTTGATCTGGTCTTGACTGTTCTAGAGACTGGACAAGGCAAGCAATTTATATTCCTGCTTAATGTACCAACAATGCATTATGGGAATCTGCTGTACATTTTAGTGGCAGTAAGTGTGGTGGCCCAGAAGGGACAAACGTAATACATCATAAATGCTTAAAGACACCGGTTCTTGAAGCTTAATGAACCCTGAATCCAAGTCTTTTGTGCTCACGTGGACGTTATTTTTTGCAGAGAAATCACATGTTACTGAGCATGACCTGCTGCCTTTGTGTGACAGGGCGTTGAACCGACAACCTTCTGTTTGCAGCGTTCTAACTCTCTCCTTTTAACGCTGAGTTTGTGTTTTTTCACTTTTACGTTGTTTTTTTTTTTACAGAAAGTTTCATCTGCCTCATCTGTTCAGTCACTCTGTTTCTGTTCACTTTTCTGCATGTGCACTGCATTTAGCACAAGAGAGAGAGAGAAGAGAGGGATGGAGAGGGTTTGGAAAAGAGAGAGAGAGAGAGAAAAGGGAGATGAGAGGGATGGAGAGAGAAAGAAAAGAGATGGAGAGAGAAAATGACAAAAGAAAGGGGTAAGAAGGGGAGAAAGACAAGCAAAGAAGAGTGGAAGAGAGAGAAAGTAAGGAGTGGAGGAAGACAAGAGAAGGAGGAATAGATGAGGGATGGAGAGGAGGAGGGAGACAGACAGAGGGAGTTCAGAGATGGAAAGAGAAAAAGTTTGAAAGAGAGGGGCCTAGAGCAAGGAGGAGGGGGGCTGAGAGGAGGAAGAAAAAAAGAGAAAGACATGAGAGATGAGTCAAAGGGAGAGAGGGGAAAAATAACAGAGAGAGAGAGGTGAGAGAAGGAGGGGACACATAAATCAAGAGAGGAGAGGACGAGAGAGGAGAAGAGTGCGAGAGAAGAAAAGTGCGAGAGGAGAGGATGAGTGAATCTGACTGAGTTTATGATTTGCAGACACAGCTGTTTGATTGACAGATGCATGAGGACGTTTGTGCCTTGAGCGCCTCGTGTGGAACAGAGCTGCACTACACTCGATTTATCTGCACTGCAATATAAACACTAAACATATGACCCGAATCAATCAGTATCAATATAACGCGGGCGGCTACAGCTTATCGGACCAATCATGATCTGTCCATTATTTGAATCATACGGGTAATGCTCTCATGACTATTTAGCCCTACATTTCAGCTTAGAATTTCAGTTTCAGTGTGTAGAAACATACAAATTGGATGTGATAACAGTCGTGATTATTGGCCTCAAACCCATATGTTTCAGTGTCACATCCTGATGTAACGGCACTGCCTCTCTGATGAAGCCTTTTTCCCAGCACAAGGCAGTGAGTGTGTGTGGAGTCCACAGAACTCTTACTGAGGATGGATTATGGATCCTTTAGTCAGTCGATAAGGTCAGGATTGGTCGGACAGCGGCTGTAGCCCTGCTCTTAAACACACTGAATGGTCTGGACCCTCACCAAGGCAGTGTGAGTGCAGCTCTCTTCTGCTCCTCTGCAGAGCCTGAGCTGCATGAGTCTAACTGTCACATTCACAACACGCTCACGTACAGACGATCACAAACCTGCAACTGCACAAGTCCCATTCTAAAGTAATTTTACACACATATGACAGGTTTCTAGGATTCTCTCCTTTGGACCTAATCTGGTGAAATAATTGTTGTAAATATAAAGCAAGTGTTTGAAGCAAAGGTAAGAATTCCATCCACACATTTGTAATATACCATTTGATTTCTGCATAATCTTCAAAATGCAAGATAGATATGTTTTAGTAAAATGACTAGTTTAACCTGTCATATGCACTAATATTACCTTCTAAGGACATAGTAGTAGAAAGCACCCTGACTGTAGCCTGACCTGTGCAGTTGGAGCGTGTATCTCGTGTACTCTGAGTCACGTGGGTTTGTGATGAGGCGACGCTGCTTTGACTGAATGTGACGAGAACTGACCAAAAAACGCCATGAGCCAAGTTCTGTTCAACCCTCACCCCCAACACGCTCAGGTGGAGACTTTCAGATCAGTAGAAATACACTTTTGTACTACTGCTATTTCAGATTAGATTATAGTATTTACACTAGCCCAAAAAAGAAAGATAAATAAAGATATAATTTATTTTTCATTTTTGACAACTTCGACAGTGATGATCCTGAAAGAATACAGTCACATTTTGCAGTGCACCCACCAACAAAGAACAAACATGCCGAAGGTGCACCCCAAAACTTCTACATATTTGATCTGAGATGTTCAGAGCCAACACTGTGGCTGCAAGAATAAAGTCAAACTGAAGATGGAGACTTTTACAAGCTTCATGAGATTTTTGTCTTAGTTTAGTGCTTCAAATTTCAGTCTTCTCTCAAATATTAACACTACTGGACTGTTTGAAATGTGAGCTGTGAACTGAATCCACAAATTTCAAACCTGGACTACAAAAATCACAAAACTCTTCAGCCTGAGCGTGTCTCTGTCTCCTGTGTTTGTGTCTTGTCTGCACTGAAGGACATTGGTGCATTACGGGTTCTCCTCTCCATTTTCCATCTTTACTCGTCTATTTCTAACTCCTTCTTTCCCGCTCTGTTCTTTCTCTCTCTCTTTTCCTGGTTTTTCTTTGCAGATGCGTGTGGTGAAGGCATTCCGTAGCTCTCTGTATGAAGGCTGCGAGAAACCCGAATCGCGAAATTCCATCCACAACTTCATGGCTCACCCCGAATTCCTCATCAATGACCTCATCCACAACATCCCGCTGATCGACGACACCGATATCGACGAAGAATCCGAAATCAGCCGATATCAGCATCTGCACCCCGCACTACGCAAGCCCCCGCCCCCGCCAGCCAATCAGCATCCGGCACGCACCCGTCCGTCCCGCCCCTACCGTCAGCATAGCCTTCCAGTCACGCCATGCAATAGAAGTAACAACAACAACAACCTACAAACCCTCCATTTTGAACGTTTTATCTATCATCACAACAGTAGTTCAACGGAGAAACCTACTACTACTATTACTACGTTTGACCCGACGCATTTGACCCATCCCTACTGTGTGGAGACCTGCTTATAAAGACTAAAATGGGTCTGGAAAAGAGGACTTTGGAGGGTAGATTTGAAGAGTTAAAAACGTTGCATTTTGTCAGATTTCTCCATTGGAACAAGCAGAAGCAATGGACTAAACAGGACGCAGAAGAGAAGAGGGAGTGGACAATCACTTGCACCAAACTCCCACAAGGAGGAATCATTTCTCTAGCTTTGCTCTGGAACGCTCTGCCTCACCCTCTCCCACCCTCCCCCATTCCACTACCACACTGCAGAAAATGAAAATCTAGAACGTGACTAAAATGACTTCAGTTCAGAATATTCATTTGAGAAGTAGAACGTGATTTATATGGATTTTAAACTTACAAAATCTATAGAGTAGTGGCTCTCAGATATTTCACACCAAGTATCACCGGAGACAGGATTTTGCACTGCGAGTACTTTTACATCTAACCCACCATTGTAATATTAAGATCAAATCTACATGATGTTATTATCATTATTATATTACGTTGCTCCTTCATCAAAAACATGCCTGAAGAGGTTTTAGATGTCATCCATCCATGTCTCTTTTAGCCATTAGGTGTAAGAGTGTGTACAAGGCTCCGCCCACAATCATATCCCCCCTGCTCCCACATGACAATTCTCCAGAAACAAACAAAAACATAATACAAAACTGCACAACAACTTGACAAACCTGATGCGATGTGCAGTTGTTTAATTAGCTGGATACACACTGATTGTGTTGTAATAGTGCTCTGAAGGGGGAGTGACCCAGCGCAGGGAGCAGAGGGACAAAAACGAAAATTAAATGTTAATATTTTGGTGAAGATAGTATTTAAAAAATAATAAAATGTAACAAGGTGATCTAAATATGAGTTAGCAGTTGATTTTTAAAAATCTCGGTTTTAGTCTGTAAACAACTTTAAATGATTTGAAACTATTGATACTCTGAATTCAAGTTATTTTACCTCATTCAGATCTTCATGTGTGCAGTGCCCCCTCCTGGACAAACCCAGTCCCTTCACCCTGTCACAGGTCTGAACTGGTCATAGGTTTGGGGAGAGGTTGTTGGTTTGATTCCCACTGCGCACCCACCCTTCGCTTTAGCAGATCAGGGCCTCGTGGCTTTGGGCGGATGAATATTTATCGTTACTATATCAGTGTTTTCATTTTTTAGAGTGTCATTATCGACCATTCCAACTACACTGCAAAAAAGGGAGGTCTCACATTGGTTCAAATTACGATATTTCAAAATAGTCATCTTGATTTGAGTCATTTTTATTTGTATAGATGTATTTGCTTAAATTAAATTATTATTCAACTTATTTAAGGTGATTATGCTTCTGATATTTAAAAAAAATCTACCAGTGGGCTAAGTGGAATTTTCTTCCAAAGATAATTTTGCTTATAAATAATAAATAATAAACTGAACCAAATATAGAAATACATTGGATAATGAAAAATTTAGGTCCAACATGTAAATAATTCAAATTGTTAAAACCACTCAAATGAAGATTCTGAGTTCAAGTTCATTCCTTCAAACATGAGTTTTAGTAGAGCACTGTACTGACCTGTATGAACACAGCCACTTTACAAATCATTACTTTTGCTTGTGACATAATTAACTGAAGCTTTAACTCATTTTAATTTCCATGTTTTTTTTTTATGGTGCTCAATCGAGTGTTATCTTTCTTTCCACATGTTTAAAAAAAGTTTAGATTTTGCTTTTTCATTGTGAAAATGTTTCTTGTAATGTTTCAGAAAAAACACAACAGAAATAGCTCTAACTGCATAAGAAAGATAAATTACAAATCTGTTTATTTATAAAAAGTGACTTGAGTGTTCAGGAATCATCAGTATTAAGTAGAGGCAACATTCTCCATCTTGCTTTTGTAAAGACTGCTCACAATCATGAGCTGATTTGACTTGAATTCAGAATCTTTATTTGCACCAATTTGACAAGTTTAGATTCATTTATTTGTATGTATCATTTGTAATATATTTCCATTGGTTTGTTTATTTATTTTTTTATAATATTGGCCAAGTTTTCTGTTCCCTGTGCTACAGTTAGATCATATTTCACATGATGATAACACACTTCCATAACACATTCACACAAGCAAGTACACAAAAATGAACTCTTAACCTTGTGATGCAAATGCTTAAGTTTCATTTCCACACAGGTGCACTATATGATTTTTCCTGGAATGTTCCACAATATGGCATTAAACGTATACATCTTGCATTTATGAATTTAAACCTTTTTATTGCTCAGAAATACCTTAAATACAGCTATAACTTGGCCTGCTTGTCTCCATGAAGGTAGATACGTTTAAAGCCATACTGTGGAACATTTCCAGAGACGAGCAGGTGGAAGACTCTGCACTATAAAAGTTACTACTTGCTTGTCAGGAATAGAATAAAACAGTGAAATATTTCAAGTCAAAGCAAATGAATCTAAACGAGTAAAAGTACTCCAAATCAGACTTTATGATCAAATGGTTGTAGATGACATTTTTTGCAGTGTTGTCGTGTCTCTCGTCTATGTCACTGGGTGTTTTGGGCTTTTTCCTGAAAAGCTGAATGCTCCTGAAGCATTAACCCTTTAATGGCACATTCACACAATGCACAGACGACGGCCCTTTAAACTAATGCACTCTCTCTCCACTCCCCAGCGTCTGTCTCCTCTCATCCCAGTCATGAATGCATGTTTTTACTGCTAGAGTCACCGCTGTGTTTGAAAGCCTCTGCTGCTCACACGCTCATGTTCAAAAGTCACTGAAAAGCACTGGAACAACATGAGCACACGATGACTCCAGATGATTTCAGAACATTACGTTGTTTTCAGGGATGCACCGATACCGATGCTGGTGTCCAATATCGGCACAGATACTGAAAAATGTGCTGGATCTGGTATCGATTCCATGATATCGGTTAAGCCGATATTGTGATTCGGCCTTTAATTGGATGTAAAAGACTATTTCCAGGCTGAGCTCTCATAATGTTTGAACTTTTATTCATCCAAAACTGTTGAGTCATCTGAAGGAGAAAGAACACTTACATAACACTCTTTAATCTCTTGTGTCATAAGTCAAGTGTGTTTTAAGGAAATAAGTGCCATTTTCCATCCCTACACTGATTTCAGCTAAAATCAGGTATCTTCAGGTACTTGAAGTCACAGTATCGATATCGGTATCGGAACTGAAAAAGCTGGATCAGTGCATCCCCCGTAGTTTTGACTAGTTTAGAAGCAATTACTTTTCAGAATTATACAAGTCAACTTTTTTTTTTTTTTCAAATACACACAAATATCCCTCTAATATTTATAGTTTTATGATTTCAAATGCAGTTTTCCTTTCAGACAGAAGAAGATAGTTGCTTGAAATAAGAGAACATTTGAATAATTATGTCTTAACTTGTCAAAACAACTGGTATCAGAATTCAGGTTCAGATCATTTAAACTTATCCACTTGTGTCATCCTAGTATATTTGATTAAATATACTAGAAATACTTACACAGAAATGATACAATACAAAAGATAACGCACTAATGGACAAAATTAGACCACTTTTACTGAACATTTGACCCTTCACCACACACGACACCTCACACTACATAAATATCTACAGTGACTTACAATGACTTCAGCACACAATTAAACACTTTTTGACAAGTTCAGATGTATTTACTTAAATCAGGCATGTCCAAACTATGGCCCGTGGACCAAATGCGGCCCTCAGACAACTTTTTCTTGGCCCAAATTACCTTGCATCAATTAAATATTAACTTTTTACTGCAAGTCTTTTGAAAATCTACCTTGATAAATCTCATATTGAATATTTAGTGTTTGGTTTTAATGATTTTAGCATGAATAAAGGACTGATGGGTCATACTAAAGTGTTAAACATGCACATATTTCAATTATTCTCTGTATTGAGCATCAGTCTATGGCCCTCGATTGGTCCTCTGCTTCATCTGTGTTTAGATATGTGGCCCTTGATTAAAAAAGTTTGGACACCCCTGACTTAAATGGACCTAGATTATTTGATTTGTTTTAATTTAATTTATCTTCCAATTGGGTACAGTTCTTGCCTTATTGGGAGTTTTGTTTATTAATTGAATCATTGAAACCGTCACAAATGTCACGAAGGTAAAGTCTGCGTGTTGTGCGTCTAAACTAGTCAAAACCAGATTCTTCTTGGGTGGATATTTTCATTTTTTGCAGTGCACCAGAACATTCCGCGGCGCAGTCTCCGTGCTCTTCGTCACATTCCGCCATGTTGGTTTTTTTCCCCATCATGCACCAGGTGTGGGGGGGGGGCGCTGATTTCACGTTGCCTCGGACTACAATGCAATGCAATCCCGGATCTCTCCCTGTCCTTATATCGCCCCCTATCTGTCTCTGCAAAAACAAACGGACGCGCATGAGTTCAAACGACGACGACGACTCACTGGATTTGAGTAGTTTTGACTTATTTACATGTATTTGCTCAATTATTTTACTTGTTTCAAAATATTTCTAACTTAATCATGGGTTCATAATGGAAGAAAACGCCTCCACGAATTTTAAAACTTATATATTTATTTATTTTCACTTTCTGTTTTTATCTTTTATTCTTGCCTTCTCCTTTTTGGCATCATCTTGATTTATTTTTACTGTTATTTTTACGTTTACTTTCCTTTTTGATTGGATTAAAAGAAATATCTTGACACGTTAAATGATTATGATCTCGTAAAATGTCAAATCTTGGTCAAAACTACTCCAGTTGAGTTGGTTCGATTTCATTTCAGTCCTTTTAACTCATGTTCAGTCTTGGATATTTTTTGCAGCTCTTTCAAACTCCCCCCTTCACATCGTCTACGTCCTATTGTTCCCTGTTACCGAACTTAACGAAGGCGTCATTAAAAGGCAGACTATGCAAGCAGACTGCCGTGGTTACCGAAGGAGGACTTTACTACACGGACGGAGCATTACCAGTGATGTCACACATGCAAACGACGACGCGGAAGAACCGAGAAGAGGA